TTTTGAGAAACGTCCATATTATTTTCCAAAAAGGCTGAACCAGTCCGCATTCCCATCAGCAGTGGGGGAGAGTCTCTTTCTCCCCACATCCAAGCCAACACCAGCTGTTTTTGTTCTTTTGGATGTGTGACAGCTTCTATGATGTGAGATGATATCTCATTGTTGTTTTGATCTACATTTCTCTGATGATTAGTGATGATGAGCATTTTTTCATGTGTCTTTTGGCCATTCTGATTTCTTCTTTGAGAAAGTTTATGTTCATTTTATCGCCCCATTTTCTGATGGGATTGGATGATTTCTTCTTGCAGAGTTCAACAAGTGCCTTGCATATCCTAGATATTAACCCCCTTATCGGAGGAATATTGGTTGAATATCCTTTCCCATTTGTAAACTGTCTTTGTATTCTGGCCACTGTTTCTTTTTGTTGTCAGAACTTTTAAAGCAGCAGTAAGCAGTAACTGGGAGCTAAATAAGCATTTGATTTCTATTGAGAATGTGAAATCCCCCAAGGTGCTTGACTTTCAGACTCTTAGGAAGTATGTCATTATTCTTTCTACTAAGTTCCCTGGATCTGATTATCTCAGCCCTCCAGTATATCCACCTCTTAGCATATAAACACCTGAACTGTGAGATTTATCTGCCAGATGGGTTCCCTGGAAGGGGTTAGTTCCTCTTTAAATTGGGCTATAATGGCCTTCCCTCTGAATGAACATCTCTCATGTGTCTCCCTCCAGATGACTGAGGTTTCTCACCTGACACAGATATCTGTGGCAGTCCCTGTCCAGGAGATTTTTCCTCTCAAGGGGCTTCAACTTAAAGTCTCTTCCCACAAGCTTCCTGTCAGGGCTAAGCTGTACCTGCACTGCCACCTTCCCCTGTCACACCATAGCCCAAATGAAGCCTCAGTATCCCCAAGTTTAGGAAAAACAGGGAGAAAGCCAGAAACAACAGCAGGGCTTCATCTAGATTGTGAAATCTAGATGCTTCGAAATCCACATGAGCATTCTTAAAATATCATCTGAAGTCTTTTCTAAGCACAGTCAGGAAGGAGAATGAGTAACTTTGGGTTCGAGAACAACAGGAAGATTAACTCAGTGAGAATTCTGATGGAAGGAGCCATATCTAGAAACTTGAGTTTGCTTTTCTCTTTTGCCTCCATCCAAACTCCTATTAAGGAGTGAGAGCCCATTATCAAAGAAATGCTGCCCCCTGCAGTTCTCACCAGAGGCCTTCTTCCTCCTACAGATGTCCATCTGCAGGCCTAAACGTTCACTTTCCTGAACAAGAAAAAGACAGCAAGCACCAACTTGCATAAATGTTGTTATATATAAAGACATTGACAAAACTGGCCAAATGGTTAGAAGTTGGATTTTTCTTTAGTTCTCTTACCTTGAGGACTGCCAGGTGCAACATGAAAAAAGTGATGAAGTGCTGACTGAGCCAAGTCTAATGTCTACACTGATTGTAGGGGAGGGATGGGCAGGGAGTGAGCAGAAACTGCAGGGCAAAAAGTGTGAGTCTCCCCATCACCCTCGGGTGCAGCACAACAAAATGTGCCATCCTGATGTGTCAGTCATGTGTGTGACTCCAGGCTACCACCAGGGAGGGAAGGGGAAACCCCAGAAATGTGAAGTCCCAATGGCAGAGGCTCCTTTATCCCATTCTGAGGTCATGTTCCCCTTCCTTCTATGTCTGAGATGTTGGTATTTGAGTATCTCATCTATCTGTTTACCAGCAATTGAGTGTCCAGTGACAGTCTCTCATACTGGGGCTCCTGTTCCCTAAAAGAGCTCATACTCCAAAGCTTGATCCTCACATCAAGAAATCTACAGGAGGAGGGGATATGGTGCTGCCAACAGGTCAATCTGTACCTGTGATGCGAATGCATCAGCAGCCTGATGGTGCCTTCAGACTTCTAGATATCCCCAAATTTCTGCTGTGCCTTTGGCCGGACCCCAACAACTTGGGGCCAAGTTTACTAAGAAAGTAAACGGCCAAAAGTTAGGTATGGGGGAGACATACCCACAAACCACCTCTGGCTCAGCTATTAATTGGAGGCAAGGCCTCTCTGGTTCCTGATTAAATTGCTTAATGGCCATGATCCCATATAAATAATTTGCTCGAGCGGGCCCAGTAACGTCTCCATTGGAGACTTTGTTGTTACTGTGTCTGGCATATCGAATACGTCACGGGGAGCTTGCCAGGCTCTGCCGTGCGGGCGAGATACTCTCGGTAGCTCGCCGGGCTCTCCGAGAGGGGCGGAGGAATCGAACTCGGGTCGGCCATGTTGGCTGCGTGCATATACTCAGAAACAAATCTTGGAACACAGCGACTTTTGGCAGAAATGCGTTGGGTCCCCGCAGTAAGTTACCAGTGCCAGGCCACCCCAGGTGGGAATAGGTTTCGTGCCTTGGCCTGTTCCCTCTGGCGGCTGGGTGGCTGCAATCCTCCAGAAGCCATTGGACAGTCAGGTTTGGGCCCACAGTGATGAGACACGCAGGACCTCAAGGGATGGGGGTGGAGCTGGCCCTTTCCTCCCCTACCCAACAAGACCCCGAGTGGCCTCTCTGGCTCCTGATCAAGCTGCTTAATGGCCATGATCCCAGAGACTCAGGAACAAATCTCAGAAACCAGCAGGTTTTGGCAGAAATCCCTTCAGATTTAATTGTTAAAATTTTGGAATTCCAAGGTGGTATGGTGACACCAGCAGGTCAATCTGTACCTGTGAGGCAAGTGCATCAGCAGCTTGATGGCACTGTCAGACTTTCAGATACCCCAAAATTGCTACTGTGCCTTTGGCCAGACCCCAAAACTTGGGGGCAAAGTTTACCAAGAAAGTAAATGGCCAAAAGTTAAGTATGAGGGAGACACACCCACAAAACACCTCCGGCTCAGCTATATAATTGGAGGCATGGCCTCTCTGGTTCCTGATCGAACTGCTTAATGGCCATGATCCCAGAGACTCAGAAACAAATCTCGGAATCCAAAAGCTTTTGGCAGAAATGTGTCCTATTCCTGCAGTAGGTTACTGGTGCTGGGCCACTCCAGGTGTGAATAGGTTTCGTGCCTTGGCCTGTTACTCCTGGGGGCCTGGTGACTGCCATCCTCCTGTGGCCACTGGACAGTCAGGTTTGGGCCTGCAGTGATGAGACACACGGGGCCTCATGGGATGGGGGTGGAACCGGCCCTTTCCTCCCCATCCCAACGAGACCCCGAGGCGCCATCTACAAACAGCCTCTCTGGCTCCTGATCAAGCTAATTAACAGCCATGATCCCAGAGACTCAGAAACAAATCTCGAAACCCAGCAGCTTTTGGCAGAAATGCATCTGGACCACATACAAGGTGGCCATCACCTCAGAGCTTATTGGAAAGCCAGGTATGAGCCTGCAGTGACAGGGCAAATGCAGTCTCATGGGAAGGGGGATGGTACCGGCTCGTTCTTCACGCCCTACCGAGGTCACGAGTTGCCCTCCACCAGTGGCTCTCCGGCACAGCCATAACACCAGACGCACAGAAACCAATCTTGTAATTATCTGGCTCTTTGTAGAAATCCAAAATCATTATATGATTCTCATAACCAGCTATAGAAAACAAAGTATTTCACAATGCCTTTTCAGCAATTCTGATTGTTGTGGGGGGGTGGAAATTCTAAATAATAATGGTGCATCTTTTGTCGAAGCAATGAATGTAATCAACGTAGAGAAAAGTTAAGTAGAAATCATCTGCCTCACAGGCATTGGGAGGGGTGGGAGGGGGGTATATTGGGGTTCTTGGTGGTGAAAAATGAGTACTGGTGAAGGGAAAGGTGTTTGATCTTTGTATGACCAAGACTTAAACCTGAAAGCTTTGTAACTTTTCCCACAGTGATTCAATAAATAAATATAAGAAGAAAAAAATAAATAAAATTATGAAAAAAAATTTGGAATTCCAAAATAGTGCAGCCACTACAGCGGCCATGTGACATCTTAAGTTATTCATAACCCGCAATAGAAAACAAATTGTCTAGGGTTGCCTTTTTAGCAGATCTGAGTGTTGGGGTAAAATCCCAAATAATAATGGTGGGTTTAATGTCAAAATATTGAATGCAATCAAAGTGGAGATAGAGTAATGTGGAAATCATCTGCCTTACAGGTGGGCAGAGGGTGTGGGTTGGGGGATATACTGGGGTTTTTGGTGGTGGAAAATGGGCACTGGTGAAGGGACGGTTGTTTCATCACTGTATGACCAAGACATAAACCCGAAAGCTTTGTAACTGCGCTCACAGTGATGCAATAAATAAATTTATAAAAAAGTAAGGTGGAGTTCATGCCCAAATCAATCAGCCTAATCAATGGCTGAATAATGAGCAATGCTACTACATTAAAAAAAAAAGTCTATAGAAGAGCCTAAGAGAGAGGATCAGAGCTAAGGTAATTCCTCCCATGCAGCCAGCCTTGCCGCAGACCCCTGTATAGTGTAGTTCATGGTGCAGCCTCAGATGCCCCAAGTATTCATAGGCCCTCGAAGAATCTCGGGGACAGACCCAGGATTCCTGGGCTCTACTTGAAAAGCTTAAAAGCAAAACTAACTAAATAAATAAATAAATAAAAGAAAGAAATCTACAAGAAAGAATCACTAAAAGTGATGAATAAAAAGAGAATAAAAATGTAACAATTCCAACTGTAGCTCAGCTTTCAAGTTGGTCACTCTCATCCCTCTCATAAATTAATCACACAGACAGCCTCTGGATGGAGACAATTATGGGAAGGCAGGTGTGGATGCAATTTGTTTTTTATTGAAAGAAGTGATGAATTGTTAACACAGGGCCCACCTCACAACCCACTCCTCAACCTCCCAAACCATATGGGACAAGCACTGGGACAGGGAAGCATGTGTGGCTTGACAAGAGCACTAACTTGAGCTATTTCTCTCTGAAGAAGCAGGAAAGAGAGTAGAAAAGCAGCTAGGGTGATGAGGTGGTGGGAGAGCTCCCTCTATGACCTCAGACTGAAGCTGTCAGCTAAGGCCCAAAGTGGACAGGCTCAAGTGGGGTCCCTTCACACGCCACAATAATAAATCGCCTAGTGGTGGGGTAGGTGATGTATCTACAGTTGGGAGGTCTGGAGCCACCAGTCGCTTTACAAAATGTGGTGGACATGGGATGTATACTCCTGTAGCAGTTGTGCCTTGTCCTATTCCTGCAGGGTACACTTTGGCCTCCGCAGATAGCCCGGACCAATGGCAGGGTCTCATGTATAAAGGTGTTTTTGGGCTTGCAACGACCCCGAGTCATGCCCCGGCGCATCATCATCACGTTGCAGTAGGTTTGGTTGCCCATGGGGCCACGGCCCGAGTCCATGTGCTGCATCCGGAATCTCAAGGCCCTTGGTCCCTGGCACAGGGAAGTCTCGAACCATGCCAGTGCCAGCAGCAGCAGGGTCAGCATCGGGAACAAGATAAGGGATCTCTTCAGAGCCATGGTGACCTCAGTCGCTGCAGAGACCTGCCCAGAAAAGAGAGAGGGGAGAGTGAACACAGCCCCTGAGGATGAGAATCCCTGCTCCCATCTGGGATCTCTCTGGAACTCAGTCAGAAAGATTAATCACCTGCAGTACTATTTGCCTGCTAGAATTGGCTATTAGACTGCACATATTCTCAAGGAGCATTTGACTCCCACTTGCTGGAAAGACTCCATCTAACCTTCCCTTCTAGGCATTGATTGCAGCATGAATTATAGTCCTAACCTTCTTATCCTTCAGTCTTATCTTTCAATGCCACAGGATCGCATACGGGTGTGTGTGTTGTTGTTTAGTTGCATACTAAAATACATCTGGAAATCAAATACATTTTCTACCCATGCTCACAGAATCCCTTTATGTAAACCAAGAGCCAAATTGCACCTCTAAGATACCCCTGCAAATCCAGGGTGATGACCAACAGAGCCCTATTGTCCTGTAGCACAAGGGAAACTTAACCTCAGGCCTAACATGTGCATCTTAAACAGATGCCACCACAGCTTCCCAAAGAGGAGATGCTCATCTCTCTCTCCTCATCCTGTTTCTCTCTGCAGCCAGAGTGCTGCTACCGGTCCCCATCCTGCCCTGCTGCTCTTTGCTGCCCCTAACTTTCTCCATGATAATCTTTCCCACTGTGGTTCCCTCTTATCCAACCCTCAAGCAGAAACAGGACCTGAGACCACGTCTTGGCTTGCTTACCTAGTTCTTTAACTTGATCCGAAGAACAGTGAAAGGTGATTCTTGCAGTGAGTGTATGCCAGGCTATAGATCTTGTAATAATGACAAAACCCTTCCTTTTTAAATAGAGAAGGGTGGGAGGAGCTTGAAGTTTCCTCAGAGGAAAGGGCATTGAGGGGAAAAGGTGGAGAATTGTCCAGACACCTTTTTTTCACAGCGGCTGGGAGGGGTGAGTCTTTGTCACCAGAAATTTCTCTTATCACCCGAATCTTATCTTTAGCTGCTTTTCTGTCTTCCCTGGCAATGGCAGAGAAAAATATAGAGCTCTTATTGCCCCAACCCTAACTAATACTGGTTACCTCTTTGAAAGTCATTTTTCCAAACAGCTTTTGGGAGATTAAAAAAGGAAAAGAACAGGTGATCTGCAGAGAAGAAAACAAAGACCCTTTCTTCTCCAGGAGTCTAGAGGCAGCTTTGATTGCAGTGTCATGTCTCCCAAAAGGACATTTTGTGAGGGGAGGGAGAAGAAGTGTCCAGCTTCCCTCATCTGGGAAGCTTCCCCTTTCTGGTGGATAGGACTGCACTATATCAGTGTCCTCCTGTTGTTCATTGATTTGCTCTAGCAGGCACCAGTAACATCGCACAGCAAATTTTAAGATTTGTTGCTACTGTTTTTGGCATATTGAATACATCACAGGTAGCTTGCCAGGCTTTTTCATGCAGGTGAGATACTCTCGGTAACTTGCCAGGCTCTCCAAGAGGGGCAGAGGAATCGAACCCGGGTTAGCCACATGCAAGGCAAATGCCCTACCCGCTGTGCTATCGCTCCACCCCCATCTGGCGGATAAAAGAGGATAAACCTAAATTGGGAAGAAAGAATCATCCAGAGTGACCTTAACCAATTCTGACTTCTTTCTGCACATACTTTACCCACAGTCCTTTAAAGAAGACGGATTGACCATTCTTATCTATAGTGACCACTCACCCTCTGGACCGTGCTAAGTAGATGAACTAAAAACAAACAAAACACAAAATGCTTTCTGGAGAAAAGCATATATTGGTACTTATAATGGTCTCTATTACCATTATTTTTGTTGTTCTTGCTATTTTATTTTTTTAAGTTGTGATTGATAAACAACTTTAGATAGAAAATCTTAAAATAACTTTGTTTCATTCAAAGTTGTAATGTACGGGGATGAGGAGATGTCTCACTGGGTGGAGTGCATGCTTTGTCCCAAGGAGACCCAGGTTCAATTCCCGACACTACATGATTCCCAAAGTTATATCAATGAGAATAACAAATAAACACCAGGGGATTCGGAATGGAATAAAAAAAGCCACTCTAAGCAGCATAGTTCTTTCCAGTAGATTTCTCTCCTTAAAAGAAACTGGTGTGATACCTGTTTTGATACAAGTGAAAATTATAAAACTCTTTCTCCTTGTTCTGAATTTACATAGCCTCAAGTCCAAATTCTGAATTAGCACCTTAATAACTTATTTCCCTAATCCTCAGTCTCTTCATCTCTAAAAACAGATGAATGTAGGAACCTCTTAGATTTGTTCTCAAATAAATAAAGATGAAGAGGATTTAGACTTAGGAAGCAGCAATAGAAGCTAGCATTTGTGGCTGCTGACATGTGTGGGGCTGAGACACCCTTTCAACCTTCCCACCCCAAACCCAGTCTGTTTCAATCACACTGGCTTATACTTGATAAGTTACTTTCCACAGATGGGTGGAGACTAGGAACTGCCAGTCTCATTCTCCAGAAAGAGAGACAACATGGAGTGGGACCTGGCCTTGTACACTAAAAGCAGAGGCTGCAGCCTAGAGAAGATGCTTGCCTACTTTAACTTGTAGAATAAAGAAACATAGGGCGTTTGCCTTGCACGCAGCCAGCCTGGCTGAACCGGGTTCAATTCCTCCGCCCCTCTCGGAGAGCCCGGCAAGCTACCAAGAGTATCTCGCCTGCATGGCAAAGCCTGGCAAGCTACCCGTGACATATTCGATATGCCAAACACAGTAACAACAAGTCTCATGATGGAGACGTTACTTGGCCTGCTCGAGCAAATCGATGAATAACAGGAGGACTGTGACCCAAATATCACAAGAGTGGTCTCAGCATGGTGGTGGCTGGTTCTGGAGGTCTTCGGCTGCCGGAGCCCTGATCGGGGCGGGAGGGAAACTCAACCTGCTCCCCTCGAAGGGACCCCGGGCGAGGACAGCCAGGCGCGGGGGCAGGAGAAATTAAAAAATTAATTAATTAATTAATTTTTTTTAAAAAAAGGAACTGGTTAGTTAGGATTTAGGAACCACCAAAAGTAAGAGGGCCAGAGTGATATAGAAGAGCAGGGGTTTGATCGTCCATTACTGGGACCCCATATGGTCCTGAGCCCCACCAGGAGAGATCCTTGAAGGCCAAGACAGGAGTTAGCTCTGAGTACCGCAGAATGTGAACTCCCTCTTCTCCCCAAAAAACCTCTAAACTAAGAAATTTCTATTGTGCTGACCTTATCTTATTAGTCAAGACTCATTCTACATTCTACTAGGTATTAAACTGTCTTTCCCTTGCAAATAAAGGTATAGTTTCAGAAACTTTGAGAAAGCTTTAAGCAGAACTATAAAACTACTTAAGTTCAAAGTAAAGTGTTCTTACAAACATTAGTCTTAATTCATCAGAATCCTTAGAATCCTTAGGTATCCCATAAAAATGATTCTCTCTCCTTGTGAAGAAAGATGAATTAGGCCTATTTGATATGTCAAAACTAAACTCATTGTCAAAAGAGAAACGTTTAACCTTCTTCATATGTGAATAATAATGTAGGTATTCTAAAATGTGGAACTTCTGATGACTATCATATAATCTGGTCAATTTTGCAAAACTTTATTTTTTTTAGGTATTTTGCAAAACTTTATGTTGCAAAATTGAGCAAACTACCTTGCATATTGTGCTATAATAAGATCTTTATTATATTATGTAGGAATTCTAATGTCTTTTGCCATTTGCAGAATTCTTCTCATGTCTTTTCAGAGATGCTTGCAGAAAAAGACTTTGACAATTACTCCAGAAACAGGTTTGTCATGGCACTGAAGATAAAATTGTAGAATTATTAAATAATTAGATACCTAAAAATTATTGGAGATCCACATTTTAAAATTGGACTGAGTGAACTATTGGGAATGTAAAAACATTTGACAAACACGAATTTGGAAAATTGCAAATTAGAATAAATGGAAATGAAATATTTCCTTTTCTCTTATTTTGACCCCATTAGCATCTTCCAGTATTTTATGATTTTGTATTTTTACCTCAATCTAGACAGAAGTCCTTTTTATATAATAGAAAATTATTTTACAGAGGCTTTGGTCAAAATATCAAATGTAATATTGCTTTAGAAATTCAAATGAACCTTTAAAAAAAGAAGCATGGAATAAATCTTGTTCAAGGGTTTCCAGTCTACTTGCAATGTGACAAATTAGCCCCTTGGAAGGTCCAGGAATCCTAGGACACTTTGGAACTTCAGGATGACTAATCAGCCCCAAAATACAAGTGTCACAGGTGAATATTGATGTTAAATAACATATTTTTTTACAAATCCCTATGATTCTGTCATCTCAAAGTTAAGTATCAGTTGCTCTAAAATTTTGCCTTTACTCCTTATCATCTAAATATAAATCCCATTGTATAGATCCAGAGCAGGATACTGTACCTCTCTGACTACAATAAGAATTAAGCCTTGCACATGACCAATACCGATTCAATCTGAGCACTGCATATGGTTCTCTGAGTTTGGCCCAGATTGATCCCTGAGCACAGAGTCAGGAGTGAGCCCTGAATACATCCAGGTGTGATACAAAAACAAAAGAAGAAAAAATAAAAGAAAGAAAGAAGAAAATGTCTCATTAGATCTGCTCTGTCCAGAAAGGGAAAATATAATGATATGATGTTCCTTGTAATTCTCCCAAATGTAGGATCATGTGGGGGTAAGTGGAATAAAACAGACTAGTCTAACTGTATTTTGAAAAATAGAACAATCTCTCTCAGACTCAAGAAGTTATCTTTTTTTATTTATTTATTTTTAAATTTTTATTAGTGAGACATCATGAGGTATAGTTGTAGACTTACAATTTTTTTTCCTCAGTAAAGACCACTCAGCTTTTTTTTTTTTTATTTTTAATAGTGAGACATCATGAGGTACAGTTGCAGACTTTTGAGCTTGGGTTTCAATTATACAATGATCAAATACCCATCCCTCCACCAGTGCCCATTTCCCACCACCACGGATC